CGATCAATCCGTGCCAAATTTGTGTCAATCCGATAATTCTTTTGTAATGATTGTTTTATTTATATTTAGGATGATTTATTTATCTACTGCGCTTCTTGTTCAATGCACAAACTCGAAAAAAGTAGTAATGAAACTATATCTATAAAAAATATCATGATATATATTTGTATATACCGATTGTGTCCTTTCCATTGTAGTATTTTTAATTTCCTCAGTCATCCATATAATATTTTCTATGCACAATAGAAAAAGAATACTCTCTCCATCCCAAAATGATGGTCCTATATTTTCTTTTTGGGATTTCCCAAAATGATGGTCATGTTTTCATTTTGGAAAGAAAGATTTGGTCCATATCATTTCACTATATTATATTCTAATCTCAACCACAACTTTTACCTTTTCAACAACTTTATTAAAACTTGTACGCCGAGTGGCGAACCCAGAAAGTCGGAGCCACGGGGTCCCTACCCTTACATATCTTTGATCTCTAATTAATGTAAAACTAATAAAAAAAAATATTAAAGAAGCATAACAATTCAAAGTTAACGTACACCATCAAAACATTAAGATATATTATAAAGCAAAAACTTACATATAAAAGTCATTCAACAATTCTATAGATGTACTCTCCTAGGCTTCATTTGTTGGAAATATTCTATAATAGAATCATCACTAATAGTACCAAAAACATCTCTCTCAACATATGTAACTAAGCAATCATTCAACCATTGATCGCAGATCTTGTTGCGCAACTCATTCTTCACAAACTTCATACTTGAAAACGCCCATTCAACACTTGCTGTAGCTACTGGGAGAAGTAGAGATAACTTAATAAGCGTATACACATGCTGATATGTGAGATGCTTCTTTGTGGAAACCATTTCAATTGAAAGGTCTAATAAAACATTCAAATCAGAAAATCTATTATCAGAACGGACATCTAAAATATAATTCTCAAGCTGATTCTCGAGTATCTTTTGATCAACGTCAGAAAACTCTTCTGGATAAAATTCTGCCAATTCAAGCAAAGATGCCCTATCAAAAGCTTCAAACGAGGAGGAAGGACATAAACAAGACACACAACGCAATAACTCATTGCTTGCCACATCAAACCTGCTATCAAGCTCAGCCATAAACAAATTAACAATCTCATGTAAACAATCATACTTGTAATGATGCATGTTCATTATACTCGGTGCCCTGCGCTTCGATCTTTTTCCTTTGATGTAGTTCTGATCCATAGAAGACACATCTATATGAAATTTGTTACAAAAAGTAACAACCTCATCAAACAAAGCACCCACTCCAATATCTGTTTTCATTGCCGCTAAACGTTGTTTGACAACTGTGACTAGTTTCAAAGCATTCACAAGATCTTGTTCATGCCTTTGCAATGCCTGTGAAAGATCATGTGTAATGGCCAAAACATTGATAATCAAATGAAGCATGAAACAAAATTCAAAAGATTGCAATTCATTCAACAATGAAGTGGCTTCACCACTTTTATCATGGTCTTCCAAATCTTCGAGCACCTCAATTACAGATTTAAATAATTTTTGCAAATTAAGCAATGATTTGTAATGAGAACTCCATCGTGTATCACCTGCTCTGACAAGTGCTAACTGTTGATTCAATCCTCTTCCTGTTTTTACTAGTCCAGCTTCTAAAGCACTTATCAAATCACTTGCTTGTTTATCTAGAAGGCATTCTTGTCGCTTATTTGATGAGCAGATCTCATTAATTACGCGACTAACATGAAGAAGTAACCAATTAACCTCATGTTGTCCTTTCACAGCGGCAACAAGTGACAATTGCAATTGATGAGCTAAACAATGGACATAATATGCATAGGGATTTTCATTTTGAATTAGAGTTTTCAATCCACCAAACTTACCCCGCACATTACTCGCTCCGTCATAGCCTTGTCCTCTTATGTTTGAGATGCACAGACCATATTGTGTTAGAATGTTCTCAAGAGATTCTTTAAGAGATGATGCAACTATTTCTTTTACATGAACAAGACCAATAAATCTCTCCAAAACAGAACCATTACTAGCAACAAAACGCACAACAATAGCCATTTGCTCTTTACCAGAAACATCCCCCGATTCATCAACTAATATAGCAAAAACATCATCTCTCATTTGCTTAATAATTTCATGAACAGTTAGAAATGCACAAGCATAACACAAGTCCTTTTGAATTTTGGGTGAAGTCATGTTTAGGACTCTATCTATCTCAGAATCATGTTGTCTCAAAAGATCTAAAGTCTCAAGAAAATGACCTTTACAACTAGACTCTATTGATTCGTCATGACCCCGAAATGGCAAACCCCCACAAAGAAGAAATCAAGTGCACTCAAGTGATGCCTTCAAGCGAATAAGGTAATCAGACTTCGCTTGTTCAGATTGTTTCACAAAACATGCTCCAATACTTTGTTTTTAGTTCATCAAATCTTCCAATCTTTTCACCGCATTGTAATTAGGACTGTTAGGTTTACCAACATGTAAATAAAACCTATCTTTTTTATTCCATGCTGAAAACCCAATTCCCACAAAATGATCACCCCCAACTTCTCACTCATTCTTAAACAAATAACATGGCAAACAAAATGCAGCATCTTTGGCAATACTGTATTCCAACCATTTATGCTCATCAAACCAACTTGAAACAAATCTACGTTTTTTGCCTCCGATTAACTTAAAAGGGAAATCATGGTCTCGATGTTGAAACGGTCCTTTTTGAATGTAACTACGACGTACGTACCTCGTCTTGAATATAAGGGTGAAAATCAGCAATTCTTTTTCTCAATCCAGGGTCAACTTCCAAAGATTCAAAATCCTCATGTTGTTCAGGTAGATTATAAGCCAAATTAGCTTCACTTTCAGCAATTACTTGATCCAATTCTTCATTTACTAATGGCGGATCATTTGAATTAACACCCGAACTACTCCCGGTACTTTGAGTTTCTTTAAATTTGGGTACAACATCAAAATATCTTTTCATCCTAAATCGTATAAAATTGAAAATAACATTTATAAATACATGAATTTATTAATTTAATCTAACATTAAAAAAAATATGCAAAGAAAAGCAATTAAAAGCAATTTAAACATAGAAATTGAAATTTGAAAACCCTAATTTTTGAGCATAAAGAAAATCCACCAAAAAGCTTGAGAAACGCCATTAATGGAGAAAAGAAGAAAAGAGTACCTTGGTGGCTCTTTGGCTTGGCCGCTTGACCCACTGGCCGCTTCCTGCTTGTCGTCGCCGGTCGCCTCGTCAGTCGTCACTCGTCGTGAAAGGAAAAGGGGGGCAGAATCGCGGTTGGGGGGCTGCGTGAAAGTGTGAAAGGAAAAGGGGGCTGCCGGGCTGGGTCTTTGCGTGAAAGGAAAAGGGGACTGCCGGGCTGGGTCTTTTGTTTTGTTTTGGGCTTAAGTTGGGCCGTGTCTTCCCTTAAAGATAGAAAAAAACGCTAAAAAAACTCCAACGGGATTCGAACATGATACCTCCGATAACATAGATACTTTGCTTCCGAATGTGTTCCCATTCTGCTGCACCATTCTTATTGTTTTAAAGTTGTTTTGTGTTTATATATATATTGAATAATTAATTCTAAATAATATATATATATATATATATATATATATATATATAATATCACTACAAAAAAATTACGGGATTGAGACGGAATTTAGCACAGACTTACCGATTTTTAGTGCCAAATAGCTCGTGTCAAAGTATTTTTGGCACGGATTTGACATTTCCCTGCCAAAATCCCTGCTAATCCCGTGTTTTTTTTGTAGTGTATATATATAGGGTTTTTTCCGAGGTACACGGGGTCCCGGAACCCCTTGGGACCCTTAGTGGGTCGGCCACTGCTTGTGTCCAAAAGAAATGAGACTATCAAATTGACACGGAGGGACTGAGAGAGTATCAAAGTTTGAAACACTTTTTCGTTGTACTTGTCAAAGAATCCCTTACAATGAAGCATACAAAACTAATTATCTAATGCGTCTCCAAAAAAGAGTTACGAACAAGTTAATTAGTAATTAAGATGGAATTACTGAACCTACAAGATATGAGTGACATATGCACACACGCATACACACACATATGTTGTGTATATATTTATTAATATATTAAAATGTATATATATAAATATACTAATTTACACTCCATATAATAAATGTTATAGTGAAAATCCTTCTTAGAATGATTATCCTTATTAAAATGAGAATTTCTAATCATGATCATTCATTTTTACAGTCAATGACTATTATTGACAAGGTGATATTTTTTAATTATTGCGGATAAATTGCATAAACACCTCGTATGAAATTTGGGTAATTATGAATAGAGAAAGTTCCCTAATAAAACTAAAGCAAACAAACAATGTTAAAGTTCATAAATATAACTATCATTGTTTTATTCCCAAATAAAACTCATTAACTCCTATTTAAAAAGTTTTATTCAACTTATTCTGTTAATAGAACTAAATCAGTTCAATTTGGATTTTGGAGAACAAAACATATTTAGTCTTATTTTTAAACTTTGTGCATGTTTGGGTCTTATATCGGATGAATTCTATGTAGTATTTCATTTTTTCTGTATTTTATTTCAATTGTTATGTTGTCTTTTAGAGCAAAGCTTAATTTATTTATGGGAAATTGCCCTAAATAGGACTAAAAACGTTTGTAAATTCTAAAACATGACTATCATGTTTTTATTCTCAAAATATGATTAATTACCGCCATGTTTTGACAATACTAGACTTTAAACATGACATTATTTTCCTAACTTGGAAGTAATTACTCCTATTTTAGGAATAAAAACATGTCAGTCCTATTTGGGAATTTTCAAACTTTTTTACTCATATTTTGGGAATTTTCCCTTTATTTATTTTACTTGTAATTCTTTCTTCATCTGCAAGATTCCGTTTCCTTTGAAGTTTTAATTACCTTCTTCACGGTGTGTTGTATTGACAATCCCAACCATATCTCATCCTCATATATTTATATATCTACAAACCCCCTCGTCGGCGCGGAGGTCTTGATCGACTTGCGACTATACGCCAGGGTGATGGCAACGAGGTGTTCGGCAAAAACCTTATTATGTGCGGTTGCCGTCTGTTTTATAGTGGTTGCCGTTATTGTATCTACTATTATTTTTTGGGCCATCAACATAGCGCACTCGCGGCCCGGCCCAATCAAACCGGTTTACTCCGTCGTGAATGCGGCGATGACAAACACCGCTTATAGAGACGACCACCTCACCGCCGACTTCAGCTTCACCCTCAAAGCCGTCAACTCCAACAAAAACAAAACCGTTGACTTCACCAACTCCACGGAAGCAACCGCACTCTATTTCGAAAGAGAAGCGGAGCTGCCGACGCTGGTGGCGTCGTCCACCACGTTGCCCGTCCCGTCCCCGCAGCCTCCCCGGAGCTCCGACAATGTGATCACCTTCGGCCTTCATGCACAAGACGCGCCTCTTGACGCCGGCAACTCCGAGTTCTTCAAGACAGGGAAGTCGGGGTATAGCACGTTCGACCATAAGATCTTCGCGCGCTTAGAGGTGAAGTTTATGGCCAGGTTGGATGAGAAGTCAACGTACGGTCTTCTTATGGTGAGATGTCGTCGCCTCAAGTATTCTTCCCAAGGTTTTGAGGTCAACGACAGTTGGTGCGTCTCGTACTACACGGACTAGTTGATTTAAGAGTGGGTTTGTTGTGGTTTGTTTAAGTTTGATCTGATTTGGTCTGAACTGATTTGGTATTTAAATATTTGATTTTCGTGTATTTTACAATTATGGAAGTCTGGTCTGCTCTGGTATGCAAGTCTGTTTAAGTCTTATCTAGTCCGATCTGTTTAAATCTGATCTAATCTGATGTTTGAAAACAATTTAAAAGAAAACATTGTTAATGGTGATTTGGCTTGCTATTTTATCCCTACCACAATTCAGAGCTATTTGTATGGATGCGTTTCTCATACGTAAATTAAATTACAATTGTCTTAAATTATATGAAGTATTTTACAGATTTGAAGCCTATATGTATCCACTATCCACAAGTAATGTAATACGCGAAACCAAAATGAACTTTAATATAATTTAGTCTGATTTTATATTTTCATTTGTAACATAGTTATTTAACACACAACACAATTTCTTCTTCTTCTTCAATTTAATACGGAGTAGTAATATATATAAGACAACGTACAAGCCTCAAGCCTTTAAAGTCTAAGCGAGTTTAGGCGACGTCAAGGTGTGAAAAGACGTTTTGATTTTTTTACTAAATATTTTAATTTTTATAGAGCTACTAGTAAATACTAAATACAAAAAATAAGAGAGACACTAGCTTTTCAACATGCGTCAAGGAGTGAAAAGGAGTATATACATGTAAAATTAGAAAATATCATCTAAAAGTATCAACATTTTACATTTTCCAACAAAATAAACTTGTACAAGTATAATGACACACACTAGCTTTAAACACATAGGTTGCAAAAAATAAGAGAGAATAAAACTTATCAATAGTAATGATAATGTAAATAATACTAGTATATTATATAATAATAATATTAGCAATAATTGTAGTAGTAGTAAATATCCCTAATGTAATCAACTACCCGGAGTATCCGTAATACGTGAACTTCACTCATCGCATGTTTTTTCCCACACCGGAATATGTTTAGCACAATTAGTTGAAGAGATATTTTTACAGATCATTTGGTAATTGGTAATTTTTAGTGATTGAGACGATCTTAATAGTAAAATGTGGTAGTTGTTTAATAAAAAGCTGATTGTTTTGATTTAGTTCTGTTTGGTATCTAAGCTTTTGAGATTAATTAATGCTAAAAGTTACAGACTATTTTCAGATGCTACTTCCTGTATCATCTCAAAAAAGATCTTGGGAATTTTTCACAAATGGACCAAAAATGAAAATAATATCACTTTTTTTCACTTTTCAAAATTTCTTTCAAAAATAGACAAGTTGAAGTTTCTTTTCAAAAATAGGCTTAAGGCTTTAAGACTTAAGGCCCGTAGCCATATACGTTAATTTGTAAGCCTTATCCCATTGCTTAGGATGAATAACTAAAGAAAGAAATGTTTCTAATGTAAAAATGTTGTCAAATATGGAATCTTTAGAAACATTGGATACTAGAAATTGTGAATTTAAAAGCTGGAAAAAACTGTAAAAGTGATTACAATAAGAGAAAACATAAAGAATATGGAAAAATAAACTTAAGAATTACTTTTTTTATTTAAAATCAAAACTAGAAATAAATATAAAAATTTATTAAATTTTGAAATAGTGAGAAACATACAAAAATTAATGAAAATAAAATTAATACTGCGAATAAAGGAAAAATTAAAAACTCAAAAAAAGAATAAAAATTAAAAAACCTAAAATAAAAATAAAAAAAGACAAAAAGTGGAAAAGTTTAAAAAAAAATTAGAAAAATCAATGAATCCAAAAAACTATATAGAAATGTATAAAACTCGATTTTCATTTATAAAAAGAATAGTAAAAATATAAGAAAGTTGAAAATATTACAAAGTATAATTTTGATTAATTTTGTTAGGAGTTACAAAGTTTAATCCTTATTATAATTTATGTTGCATGTTGTGGTTTTGTGTTTGTTTATGTTTATGTTTGATGCAAATTTTGCATAATTTGTTTTTTATTGTTTATTTATATTTGTTGCAGTTGTTGATATTCAGAAATCAAAATTAATCATTTTAGATGATTTATTTATCAACAAATGATTTTTTATTCCAGAGAAATAGCAAAGAAGTAGAAATTAAGCAAAACAAACATCTAAAATCAAATTCAATTATAATAAGCAACAATAAGCAACACAATGCAACAACATAAAACACAATGCAACAACAAGAAACACATATAATGCAACAAAAAGCAACAAAAAATAATATATAAAACTATCACAATAAATATATAATTCAATTCATTTCATTTATCCGGTATGTTGATTTGGATTTGCTTCTTATCATTTCCTCTTTTTATGCATTTTAACATATCATATACTTTCGGCTCTTGTCTTCTTTTTCTCATTGATCCCTCAGTTGTTCTTCTTTTTCTTTTATGCATCTGCAATAAAAATACAATCACTATATTATATGACAAAATAAAATAAGCAATAAAAATAAAATCACTATTTTTTTTTGAAAAGCCTGAATATATAAAAAAACACTAAGAAATTTAAATACCGAATAAAAAATGATAAAATGTCTAAATATAAGAAATAGAAATAAGAATGTGAAAAATGAAAATAAAAATGTTAAAAAATTACCCCTGTAAAATTACACAAAATGATTTTTGTAACTCGGTAATTTTTAAAATGGTTCCAACATTTAATATTTTTTGTTTATGTTTCCTATTGTTTCTTTGTGTTTATTGTTGTTTATAACTTTGAATTTTGTATTTCTTATTGTTTCTTGATGTTTCTTATTGTAGGTTGTATTAATAAATTTAAATTTATCACTTTAGATAGTTGTATATAAATTTATATATGACATTTTATTTCAAAGAAATTTAAATTTATCACTTTTTTGTCTGCAAAAGGGTTTGGTTTCTTTAGTTTGTTTTCTCTGTATTACCAAAGAATTGACACATAAAAAACAGTAAATGCAAAAGTTGTTAAAATAAACATTCACCTTATCCTAGTATATAATACCTTCATGAGAGCTACCACAGAGACTCGGACATGAATAACATAAGACATAATTGTATATAGCTCGCACAACAGACACTCCAAGCATCCATCTCCAAGTCTCAAAGATCTGCTTAGGGATTTACACAGGACAAACGCTTAATATCCATGCTAGAATATTACAGATGGCAATTTTCACCTAGTTGTCTGCACATTTCCTAAGAAGTAACAAGATTACTCAGATATTAGTAGTTTAGATTCCATCTACTACAAAAGTTGAGTAGAGAGTAGTAGTCAACAATGAACAATACGATGCAACAAAAAGAAACAAAAGACAACATGATGCAACAAAAGCAACATGTATGATACAACAAAAAGAAACAAAAAAAACATTGATCTTCCAAGTCTTATTAAATTTATCTACTCAACATATATTATTTGTCTTCATTCAAAAGTGGATATCACATATCATATGCAAATTGACTTTGACAGTTATGTGATTAAAAAAACATAAGGTATTTAACAATGTATCTGGAGGAACATTAATGGTTTCAGAAATCTTTTCATTTCAACACATGACTTGAAATAGTAGAAAGTATTTTACATAACAGAGTTCAAACTGCTAGAAGCTACTATTGCATGCTATTGAATATCAATTGTGTAAATGAAAACTAAATTTAAAGCATATATAAATCATTAAAAACATCATAAAATCAGACATTGACAAACCGTAATTGAAAGTGCAACATCATACAGTGTTGAGTGCTAGCAACTTGTCCTGAGGGCACCATCTTATCAGTGTTGTACCGGGTAGCATAGCCTATGCCTGATTTGCGATGTTGTCCAGCCCAGAATACTTCACCTCCCAAAGATAGACGAGGAGTCATGTTCTGGATGTAACTGGCTCCAAGCAATCCACCTTTGCCCATTTGAAGTTGCATCCTATAAACCTTTCCCTTATAGTGTAAAGATGACCGCAGTGGATTGCTTCCCTAAACATAGTGTGATACTTGGCATGATCTTGCAGTGGGAAGTCAATGAGGAGCCAGCAACTCAAGGTCTGATTTCCTTATCCAACATAGTATCAAAGTTCCATTGCTAGGGTGTGTATGAATTCATTTGTGTATTATATGTGCTATGTTCTAAACCCTTGCTATTTAAGATGACCTTTCCAGATTGGATACGTTTTACAGCATCTATGCATTCATTCAAACATAAATTTAAGAAATAATTACATAAATATGATCAAAATAAAGATGATTTACAAAAATATGACTAATGACTAGAGTAGTAATGAAATCATAGTAATTCATGTTCAAGTTTTGAATTTAAGTTACCACATTGTAGTAATGAATAGTCATATTTATGTAAATATGACTTATTTTAGTATTATTCTTGTAAAAACCCCTAAATTTAAATTTTGCAATAAAAAAAGTTGAATCGGAAACAAGAAGTAAAGCTTAATTATATGAATTAAAAATAAAATTAATACCAAAGTAAAAAGTTCAAAATCTGAAACACGTACCTGCAAATCGGAAACCAATGAGGCACCAAGGCAGCGAATCAGTGAGGAGTCGAGCAGGAAGGGGAAGAGGGCGGAGCCGGCACAGGGGGAGGTGAACAGCCACACACATCTATGACATTTTTGTTTAAATCTTTCAGTTTGCCTAGCGGTGAGGTCGTGGAAAATGAAGATGAACGAACTGTCCAAGCCACCGCTTTGTGCAGTTGTCTGAAGCTCACATGCTGTTGTTACTCACTGCGCCCGCCTTAGATCTCGCTGTCGCTCCAGATCGCCTGCCGTGCTCCAGATGATAGCCGTCGTCGAATCATAGGTCCCCTGCAAAATCGAAGCCGTCGTGTACGTCCACCGTCTCTACGGGGATTGAGAGCTGAATTGCGCACACATGGAGTATCCCTGTCGCGATGTTGAGAACTCCATCACTTATGCCAGACTCTGCTCCAACGACGTGTCCCCGTTGTCATCAAGTCGCTCAGATGAGGTTCCCAATGAGAGCCACCGATTCTAAGGAAATTGCCGGTCAGGAGCTTCTTCCCTCGCCAAATCGTCGATCTCATGCCTCTTTAATTTCTTAGAACGGAGACGGAAGTAAGGGCAGAATGGAGGAGGTCGGCAAAACCTTGTCCAAAAGTGAAATAAAAAATCAATAATGAAAAGTTAAAAATGAAAAGAAAGATAAGTTGGGCCATAAAT